ACATCAACAAAAACACATTTAAACGTGATTCATAACCATTGATACTAATTCCGCTTGATGCGAAACTGTTAAAGGAAGTTTTGGTATTATTCCTTCGATCCCCCAAAGGTTGTTGTTCTCACTTTTAGCATTTCATTTTAATGAATGATGATGCGACCTTCTCTAACTAGATAGTTGTGTCCTCACTCAAGTACAATCTTTTTTACTTGAAACAATGATAAGTACCCATATAGGAAGTCAGTAAGAGGAAGCTGTTCGGGTTTCGAGATCACACGACTTTGAAGGTTGTATCAGTGGTTTTCCGATTTTTCCCGGTGGGTCGGAGGAAAGGAATTCACGTCTTTTGCCGAATTCAATTCTTGTTCATCTTTTTCCATGGCTATGTTAGTTTGTACAGTTTTTAAAAAGTTATTGTTCACAGCCTCTTCATATGAGGGAGGGACTATTTCTTTTCCAGGCAACTCGGACAGATTTTCAAATTCGAAGTAATGTATCGGCGCCAGTTGCTCATGGGAAGCACTCTTAGAGTTTGAAAATTCCTCACCATTTACGGCGGACTCATTTTCAGCGAGTTTATCACCGCTGGAGTTCCAAAACGTTATGGCGACAAGCAACAGTCCACCCACAGTTACAACGACTGGTCCAGCAATTATGAGACTATTTATAGAATAGGTGTTCCCCACTACAGTCAAAACAGAGCCGGTGAAGACGAAGAGAAGAGGCGTTAACCGTTGAAGTCTGCTGAACATGTTGTTGACGGATTTTAACATCTTCTATCCAAAAGTTAACTGAGTTAGAGATGAAATAGCGTCCTTCTACCAGGTCTGAGCGCTGGGAAGAGATAATTTGGCGTTCCGTTCCTTCGGTGGAATATGATAACTACAAAGTGTTTGAGTGAGTGTTACTTATTAGATATTAAATGTCGATTATCATTGACGTCATGAGTAATATTGTTTGAATATTTTACCCACACTTAGATTTAATTTCCAGATTCTAAATATTACTTTGGCTAAGACTGAGATAACTAACTAATTTATTTAATTAACTGCTTAAACTAAATTGAAAGAAGTGTCAAGGAATACTTACAATTGAACAGTAGAATTTTACTATCAAGAAATAGGTCAAAAAGGAAATCATTAAGTCAAAGCACAGACCCTTAAATATCATGATTTACAATGTTTTACTCTTGTTATATTTGTTTCAGCATTCAAGTAATTATAACTTCGTTTGCCAAGATGATCTGAGACAAAATACCATGGAGTTTGTCCTGGTATTAGGTAGCTTTCAAGTAAACCATGGTTACACAAGTCCAGCACTAGATGAGAGATAAGGTATAAAAAGAACACATTTCGTTAATCCCGTTAACAATTTGGTATACTTATTTCATCTGAGCACCATCGTTTCATTCTACTCCTATTTCGTAAAGTTCGTCTCATTCTTTCCCCTTTTAAGTTTATTTTAAGTCACTAAGTGATGTTATTGCAAAATTTATTTTGCGGAGTCAACTTTTGTAGCCTCTAACAAACATTTTAACAAAGTATACAATGGACATAGCTTTTCAATATATTTCAAGCGCTCCCTCAGGGCCAGTAGCAAGCTCTTAACGTCAATGTATAGAAACAAGGTCAAGTGGTGGTTGTCAAGAGGAGGCTAAATCTGATAGCCAATGAGGGTGTCAAGAATCTGTAAAATATGATGAAAATAAAAGACCACTTACTACACTACTTATGCACATTTTATTGATTTCAATACAAGAAAACCAAGACACATCAATATACGGTTATGTTCAAATTAGCACTGAGTTTATCTCAGCTTGGTTGTCCTGTCCAAAAAGATGACAACGCGAGAATGTCAAATTATTTATTGTCGAGGATATTTTTAAAAGATATTTTGAATCACGAAGGAGGAATCGAATCTTAAATGTTTCATATAGGATTAAAATCCTGCTTTCACATATTCGCTCAGTTGATCAAGCACAGGCCTTTACGATATTCTTTGGTAAAGAAAAACAAACATAAGCTTTATCAGGGATAGAAATTTCCAGAACAAGGCAATTCTTTGTTTACTATGATGTTTCAATTCATCAATTCTCCGCTCAGTTGAGGCTAACACTCAAAACAACGGCTTCCTGAACACTTTGTACCGTAGCAATAGCTTTTATCAATTTTCATTCACTTTTATATACTCAAAGCCGAGTAAACTGAGATGCTATTTAGAAAAATTCCTTTTTCGTTGATCATGTAGTCAGCAGAAACAGTCCTGAAAGTTTAATTAGTCTATGTTATTAGTGTAATACGAAGTTTCAAAATACTGTTGAAGTACGTGATTAAGTTGGCGGCTTTCCTAGTATAATTACTTGTCCTAGATATTTTTAATAAACAAAATCAACGAGTTTTTCTTGTTCGACATGCGTGGTTGATCAGCCATAAAATTCAAATCACGACCGTCTAGTGAAAAACGTTCGGCATGCCACTGTGATAAAATGCTCAGAATAATTAAAATGGTTGTTGCTTGTTTGATACAACATCCGCAAAATGCAAGAATTTAGTGAAATTTGGTACCATGGCTACCATAGGCGATCAGTGACGAGCTCATTGAGCCTGTATAAGACAGTAGTCGCTATCGTGGTTCTCATTTTGTGCGGAGTCCTTATGGTTGTGGTTGGAGTGACAAATAACAGCTCGCATATGAAAACAGGAGGTTATACGATGTGTTGTTTCGGATTAATCGCTGGACTCTGTTTTATTGGTATACGTTATTTAAAAAAGACAGCAAGTAATTTAGAGAATACAACTGAAGGAAACGAAAGTCCATTAACACGCAGTGTTGAACACATTGAGTTGCTGCTGCTTCGCGAGGGACAGATGGGAAATAGCGAGGCTCAGACCAGAGGCTTATCGTCATCAAGAAGGGAATTAAACTTTCTTTTGACGAGAATCTTTGGTTATCCTCCTTCTTATGAGGAGGTAACAACGAATGATACTTATGACACCAGGACGCAGGTTCAATGTGACCCACCGCCATGTTACACAGATGATGAAATGTTAGCGGATGTAAGTTTATCGCCGCCATCTTACGAAACTGTTGTCTCAAGAACAGTAACAAGTGAAGTGTGACAAATCTCCCCGCCGAGCCCCCTCAGTTGATGAATCGTCCAAAAAGAATTATCCTTTCGTTGACTCTTCTGAGCTTCACGTAGGAAAAGGCGAGGCCGAGAGTGGAAGTCATTGCAAAACTAGTTGGTGGAAGATTTAAAGTAAAACATACAACGTTCAGCAACATTACAATGTGAAGTACAATGTAACAACTCTAATTCCAGAGTTGCAGTCAGCGGTGGAAAGAATTGAAGTTTCTTTTTACTACGGCCGTAATTACACTGGCGTGGTTTTTCTTGACTGTCGCACAAAACCCAATAATTCTGTATTGAGGGTGCAACGTACCTTGCCTCTACCTTAGGAAAAGCCTTTTGTTAGTCTGATCTCAACGACGTTCTTCCGGAGTAATCTCGTACCCAGATCCTACCGTGTAACCGGAAGGCCATGAAAGGTCTGGGTACGAGCCTTCTTTCAGCGTGGATTTACGAAACTACTCGAATCTACGACGTTTCGACAGCATGTTACTAGTCTTCTTCAGGTGATCAGTGAGATTGAATGATAATGACGATTCGTTTAGAAGCATTTGCTCTGCCGTGATTGGTTGATTTTTCAGTTCATTGCGATTGTGCTTTATAATAATGAGAAAGGAAACTACGCTGTTTAAAATAGTTCGGTTCGTTTTATACAAAATCTCTTTTGCTTTTAAATTTCAAGTAACAGTTTTTCTCTTCCTCTGCCCCCTTTGTATTCTTTTCGCAATCACGCGCGGCGCGCGTGATTTCACAAATTAGCCAATCACGTCAAAAAACTCTAACCTTGACATTGGAAAACTGACGTGGACATTTTTCGCGTACTTTAAGTTTGTTTTCGCGGAGTTTTAGTTGTTTTTGAGCTTTCATTCGTGTAAATTTGAATTTTAAGAAGTTTCGGAGTTTTTATTTCAGCTAAATGTTGTGGTTCATTCAGCAAGTTTATTACATATTTTCTACGGAGTTTTGACTCAAGCCTCTTTTTTCGCAAATGGAATTTTTTACTCGTTTCACGCGAGATCTATGCACGCATGCCCTCCAGGCTCCAGGAATAACGTCATGATATTCTCACTAGTATGAAAAATACGCAACTCACGTCTCGGATGTAGATTTGTATGAATTTCTCGACTGCTGTGTATTTTTCAGCGAGCCTCTTTTATGAATAAAATTTTCGTGACGTAGGACGTTAGGTGATGTTGTGATCATAGTTATTATATATCTATACACACACACACACACACACACACACATATATATATATATATATATAATGTGACTTAACAGTTCAAAGGTCGCGCTTGAAAGATGATGTAAATCTCTACAAGTTCCAGATATCACGCTTTCAGATTCGATAATCGTCACGAGGCAGTTATGTAACACTTAGAGCAATAGTGATTGCGTAAGACTTGTGTTTTCGAATATCTCCTCTCACGACCAAGGGGTGTGAAACAACTAGTGTGATGTGTTCTTAGTGCATTACTGCCGATCGCGTTATGTAACGCTCAAAGCACGTGAGATAACGCACGAGCTGAGGGAGGGGCATTACCTGTAAAGCGATATATATACATTTTTCCAAGGAAGTCGTTAGGTTTCCTTGAAGGCAAGATGTATCTTTTTCCATTCTTCTTTGTATAACTTTGCGTAATCGAAATCTTTGCTCCAGAATTTTGCTCTCTATGATTCAAAATAAATTTTTTTGAGCGGAGCCAATCGCGCATGAGCATGGGGTTTCCTTCTCTTTTTCGAAGACCGTAACTTGGGATTTTTCTCAATTTGTCCCACTGCATTTTTGCCTCATCACATTTCGGGTTTAAATGAGATCAGTGTTTTCGGCCTTCTCTTCTTCCTCAGGTTTTTTTATTTTTAGCTCCGGGCTTCTCCATTTTTTTTCCATATCTTATCTCGGTTTGTAACCCGTTCGGTTTTGTTGGCTTCTCCATTCTCAGTTGTGTAAAATCCAGCCTGGAAAATCTGATCAGCAGTCGTGTTACTTGACAAGGTGAAACGACCGGTGTGTAATTGATGTCTAAGGGGGTGGTCAGCCTATACTGGGCCCGTATATATAAGTAGATCTATGCCTACTTTTGTCTTTTTCCGCCCGATTGACTTTTATAATGTGATTCTTGCAAATGTTGAAACAAAAATTGACCTTTCTTAGCGGCACATGCCCGTAACAAGCCGAAAAGCTGCCTAACCTAACGTGAGTCACTGAACGTTGTTTATATATGTTTTGACGGATTGGTCTCAGACTATTACCCGAGCGGGTTCATGATCATAGTCATGATGAATCGTTATGTAATAATTAGCAAACGTGAGTTCATGTGTGAACGGTGATTTGAACGTCGTGTTTTTAGTGTTTTGTAACATGTAGTACGTGATATCACGCGTGAACCATTTGGGGCATCACTATTCGATAGCTTTACGATGTTCAACGCAAGATCCTACACTAAGAGCTGTTTCGTGGAGGTTCATAAGCCTTGTGGTTTCTCAGTTGATGTCAAGGAGAGACTATGTTTTCAAAATCACCATGTTAAAGTAGACATTCATCTTGTCATCTTTGGAAAAATATTTGTTTGATTGTTGCTATGGTTTCCACTAAACATCTATAAGAAATGAACTATATGAACGTGATATTACACAACGATTCCAGGCTAAGGAACACTCGCAAAACAAGTCAACGTTTGCTTTTCAGCTGAAAACAAGGACAACGAGTGGTATGGAGAGAAACCAATCCATGCAAGGTATGAACTTATCACTGTGTGTGCGAAGAAACTGGGACAAGGGACATAAATTAATAATAAAACGTAAATCTTCATGGCCTTTCTTGACAACAATTAGCTCTATTTTCTCGACAATTTCTTCCTTAAATATCCTCCATGATGATTCTAAAAAAAAAGGGGAAATTCGTTTACAGAAAGTTTTGTTGTATCACTTAGGCGGCACAAAAAAGCTTTCTATTATTATGAGATATTATTTACTGTTAGTAACATATGGGATTTCTCTCTTAACGTTATCGAAAGCCGTTAAGGGGCTGTCTTGGATGTACTGTGTTGGAGGAGATGCACTCAGTCATATTTAAAGTAGCCGTCCTTATTTGAAAAAAGTCGACATTGATCAGTGACAGATGATAATTTTAAACAGTATTGACTAATACACCTTTTAACCCAATGCTATTCCTCCTATTATCAAACAGTCCATTGTTACCCTTACGAACATTTTTTTTGTTGCTGAGCATAAATTCCTTGAATGAATCATGAAAGTTACGTTATTGTTTCCACTAGTAGTACCTCTGATCATTTGAAACTCTCTAGTTTAATAACTGTTAACATAACGTTTATGGCGTATTGTTTGTGTGTATTTATCCTCTGTCCACCATCGAGTTCCCTACAACTCCGTGGTAGAGCATGGGAATTCGGCGCAAAATCCGTAAAATTCTATGCTAGTGGCAAAAAAATGAACAAATCTCTTTATTGAACAATCGAGTTTAACAATTATAGTCTTACTCATACTTGACTTACTATAGTTCCCTTCTAATCTGCCTTTTATTTTGATTTAGTTTTTCTTTAACAGTCTTACGAACGCGAAGGGAAACCGACCTTATAATTGTGTTATTAACAAGAGGGGTCAGGTGGTACGGGACCCTTTGCAGTCTTTTACTGAAGGCTCTCGCTTCAGACTGAGATGAAAATCTAGGACTACTTGCAATATACTTAGCTTCATCCAAAATGGCATATTTTGACGCATGTGAAGTAATTACGACAATTCACAACGGAAATTGATTTCCCTCAACTTGCTGCCAGGTCTCAGATTTGATTGCGAAACAAAAGTAGTCCACGATGTCAAAAATATCATTTTGTTATTGTACGGCAGGTCAAATACATATTATTTGTTCCTTACAAATTTCACTTGAATAATTTCTGTGCTCAAAAGTAACATTTAACATTCGCCGGTGAAATGACATTTAACACTTCTCGAGTAGTGAACTTAAGTATCGATCGAAATCAGCTATAATATAAAACCAAATTAATCAAACAACTAGTAAGTTAAGAGTACTCTAACTCAACAACTGTTAAAGGCTTAAAAATTACTTTCTCCGCCTTCTATATGAGTTTCTGCTTGATCAAGAAATTGTCGATGAGGTAATCTACAGTGCCCGTAGTGCATGCACGGTATTGTGCCCGTAGTACATCTGAAGTCTGCGGATAAATGTAAGAGTCTGAGCAACTGCATCAACCCCTAACAGTCAAATATGATTGGTTAATGTAGGTTAGGGGAGAGGTAAGTGCGCTTTCAACTTCGTCCATCTTATCGCTAACAGGTGCGTTTAGCAAGGCTCCCAGCTGTGCAGACGATGACCCTAACGAAAATTTATCGTCATCATCATCCTCGTCATCATCATTAGTATCATCATCATCGTCATTATCATCGTGGAGAAAGACAATGGTTCCGGAGCACAACTATTCAAGGCCTTCAGATATAGATGAACTTAAAGAGTTGTTATCGGATGTCGAAGCGCAGCAACAAGCCAAGGGCGATGTGAAACAGGTTGAAAAAGCTGCGGAGTTAAGACAGCAGCATCAGGAATGGTCACCAGTTTCCTCCTCCGAAAACGTGTTCAAGCTTGTGTTTGAGGCCAGCGGTGTGCGCTTAGCATTGAAAAACGATAAAACTGTAAGTAAATAAATTAAAAATAACTTTTTGATTCAGTATGGGAAGTAGTCCGGGATTACATTGCATGATTGTCTTTTCTTTACTGCCTGGTAGGTATTTAAATTTCATATCACTTCGAACAGCTATGATTCAGCTCGGTCATTCAGCTTGGTCATTCAGCTTGGTCACTTAAGGTTTTTGGCGTTTCACGCAGGCATTTTGTACGTCTCATTGCAGTTTCCATTTTAAATTTTACTTTACTTCGATTGACTGTTGGGATTAATTTGGTTTTGGTTTTGGTTTTTACGAAATTCGCTCTCTATGACTGAGGTGAATTCTTAGAACGGGATACATACGTAAGTAATTTTATAGAGTAATGTTTACTGACCTAAAACCTTTTTTTTCTTCCTTTAAACCTCAGAAGCCACAAAAAGATCCTGAAAAACATAAATGAACCTCAGGCCCGGTTACCAAGGTAGAAGTCCTTTCTGCTTCGTTCTTGGTCATCTGGGAGATGCGTCAAAGGAGTGGGGGAACGGTGCTGATCCGAACAAACCACTAATACTCTTTTTTTTTTTCGCTTTCCCTGCTTAGAAATGAAAACAAATTTTTATCCAGCCTTACGCCATACGGATATGTGTTGCACGCAAGTCCAGAAGACTAAAGTACATCATTTCTCATCCATACAAATTTCTTTTACTTTCCCTGTCGGTAATTGAAAGGAATTCTTCCACATAAAATCGCCTGATCTGTTCTTGATGTTAATTCTTGTGCCCAGGTCTCACTCCTTGGCAGGAAAATAGTTTTGTTAAGCAAAGTGTTTTATGATATTCTTAAATAAATTATTCGAGAAGTTCTTCCGTGACTGAAATAAAGTGCTCCCGTTATATAATGGAATCATACGTACGAACACTAGAACGACATGAGATAATTAGCGTTCGATTAGTTCTTTCCATAAATCACGTAAAATCCGTCTTTGTTTTTTTTAAGTTTTTCAAATTGTCATAACTGAGGTGAAAGGGCTTTTAACTAGAGGCTTACAAACTTTGCAAGGTAAAACAGAAATGTAATTTACTAATTGAATTAGGTTGGTTATTCATAATGATGATCAAAAATTATCATATCATTTTGCGTTTCACTTGTGAGATTTTAAAATTGCTTTATATCTACCCAAATAATGTTGTCCGGGTGCATCGTTCTGGTGATTCATGACCATTTAATCGTTTACATCACAATTGAGAGTTTCAAATGTCAAGCCATCAAATGCTTGATCACAACGATCGGACTGCTTTCCTCCTCTCGTCATCGCCGGGCGATGAAGTTACGTCTCAGATAAATAAATAAAAGCAACTGACATTTCCTCGCCCTCACAAAATGGAAGACAAATACCGGTATCATGACAAAATCAACCAGTGGGTGGCCACCACAAAAACCAAAATTGTTTACTGTTTTAAATGGTCACGTCGGTCACTCTTTGGGGTTGTCACGTCTTTATATATGACCACATTTTTCATGGTGATCTGTAATATTGGTCTTGTCGCTAGCCAGCGCCAAGGCTAGACACATTAATAGCGAAAATGCTTCAAAACATAAATTCAAAAATTTCCAATTTTCATTTATAATTCTTTTCATCAACCTCCTTCCTGTATTTCCCTACAAAACGAAGAAGAAAAGGAAGAAAAGGAAGAAAGGCAGACTTTCCTCTACCAGTCTTAGAAGTATAAAAGTGCTGACTTATGTTTTAATTTTCAAATTTTTGATACGCAGAGAAATTTGCCAGCCAGCTAGCTTTCGCTTTCGGCACGTTTAATATTTAGAGAATCGGCTCCGCGGGCAGACCAACCTTGCTTTGTACGTCAATGGAATGCAACAGTTTACCTAATAATCACTTTCAAAAATCCAGCGAAAATGCTATTAGTTTTTTTGATTCCCTTACATTTCTGAGAATCTTTTGAAACCCTAAAAAATCCTCTAAAATATCCGGTTTTTGGTCTTAGCCCGCCTTCCGCACTCTCACCAGCCCCCTAGAGAGCATCAATCCCGGCAGTCGTGACGATGGAAAAAAGACAACGTTTATTTAAGAGAACGTGCTCTAGGACTTCGACGCTCAGATCACTCTGATACATATATTTATTTCCGAGAGATCATTCTTTAAGGGCGCCGAAAGGATTTCACCTTTACGATTGCAAAAAGTCGGTGAAAAAGAGGAAGGAAATGACGACGATGATATTTCGTGTTTGTAGCCTGTCCCGAGAGGACAATAACAACATCGTCGCTTGACTCTAAAGATGACTTCCGCTCAGGATATCGAAACGTCAGATACTGCCACCGACAACAGTCCCTTTCGCTTTCTATTCTCCAGCTCCGGAAAATAATTTTAGAAAGCTTATTAAAGAATATTTTTGTAATATTTTGGGCTAAAATCGCAACATCTTCTTCGTTCACTAAGCCGTCTGTGAAATGAAAGACCATGAACCACGTATGTTGTCACTACGTAAACTTTTATCCATACCACGACAAAAGTATCAAGTTCGCTTTAAATTTGGCATCGTAGGGGGGAAAAGTGTTTCTATTTATCAGATTTTTTTCTTTTTCTTTGTCTATACATATATGTTAGACACAGTTTGACTGACCATAGCTCCTTGAACTGTTCTTTACGTGCGCCGCAAATGAAGAATTTCTTGCACTATATGTGGCGTGACATTATATTTAGGCTCAAATGTTTGTGTTTACAGACCGCGCTGACAATACAACCTGCAGTCCAACACTGAAATATGCCAAACTATGAGGAAATTTAAACCTTTGCTTTGAAAACAACGACAGAAATTGACAGTAAAGATCAAGATCAACACAAAAAATTTAAATGTGCGAAGAATCAAAATATCTTTCGCTTCTAAAATAACTCTATAAAGATAAGGCTGTATGGAAATTTCTTGTTTTGAATATTTAAAGGTGGCATTTTAATGACTATGCCACTCGCGTTTCACGTGCACGGGAGATCAGAGACTGACCTGAACGATGAAATGTGCCCTGTGTCGATCTCGTTCGACTCTCGTGATACTGATTCGTTTTGAATAACACCCTAGGGAAACGCGTTGGCAATCACGTACATGAATTTCAATCACCCCTAGCATTCATTCAGCACGTGCTCTCGTTTGACAGCTATGACAATACATAATTTTTAGATCAGTCGCAAATTTTTTTTCACAGAGATTTCGGTTTTCGACAACATATCTCTGCATGAACCTCCACGTAAAAGCCAACCGAGCGTTTTTCGTCCGCTTTTTCACCAATTTAAGCCTTGTCATAAAAAAGGAAAGGGATAAATCGTTTTTCTAAACGCCAAAAAAATTTTAATTATTCAAATTAACCAACAGGCCTGAGTCGTGCATTGCATCGTACGGTGGTAAGTACAGCTTTCAACCGAACTCTGCGCTTTTAAAATTCTGCGTTCGTTTTTCTGGGCAATTTTCGTGTGGGTTTTTTTTTCTACACTGAAACTCATAATTCATTTGAAATACTAATGAAATCTTAAAAAAATTTTTCATTCTGTAATCAGGTTTTTTCCCTCAGCGCAATCACACCAATTGCCAAAATAAAACAAGTGACCGTCATGAGTTTTTAGTTGGTCAACGTGCAAGCTTGACATTGAAGAAATTTTCGATGCCTCGATACCAAATGACTTTCTGTCAGTACAATTCGAACGGATATAAAGTTTCTGAATGGTGGATGTTCCTTTTCTTGTTGTACATCGCCAGTTTAATGGTGGGAGTCGTGTTTGTTGTGGCTGGCTTTACTTCATCTGATTATGGCATGGGCGCTGTCGGGTTAGTTTTGTGCATCGCGGGCGCATGTTTGGCCGTCTTGTGTGACTTACTTCGAAGATTTGGTTGCGGATGGAGAAAAATAATGGCCTCGCGATCGCCGCGTTTTGGAGACAACGGCCAAGAAAATCCAGACGCTGACATTGATTTTCCATATCTACCAGGCTACCCGGGATTTTCTACAGCTGTGGTTGATAATCCACCTTCATATGCAATTTGCTCGGGCGAACCGTTTGTAACCAGCCCCGACATTTCTTGCTCTTGCGGAGATTCATATGCGTGTGTCGATAATGGAAGATTAGAATCTTCCAACAACACTGATAGGATTCCAGAGGCGACTTGTACAACATTACCTCAGGATCATGGACCATCAAACTTTGGACCTGAGGTTGTAGGTACAGAGCAGAGGACTCTAAAACCATCACCACCTCCATATGACTTTGTTGTGGTTACCATGGTTACCACTTTCGACACATCTAGACTGTCTTGGCTAAGGGATTCACCGCCTCCTTATGCAGAATTCGTTTAGTACATTAAACTAAAGACAATAGCTAAATGTCCGGCAGCCGAGCACGCAACAAGGCTGTATTATTTAACTTATTTAATTTTTTCGACAAAGCCTAACATTACGCGATGCTTATTTAGGATGATTTTGGCTAAATTTTCTTAGTTAGTAATTTTCTTAACATGCGGAACAAGCATGGCAGCATGAGTTTGTTTTTGCGTTTTTCAATTGGGAGAAAGGTAAACGCGAGGGGTTCCGCTTTCGCGCGGACTCTCCCTTTCCCTCCTTGCCTCGCCCTCTATCTGCTCGCCTGAAAAACGCACATGAAAAAAAGCTTAAACGCAGAGTTTTTCCCGAGATATGTCTGGCATGAGTCAATTCGATTAAGTAATCGAGTACTGCTTCTCAATTGTGGGACAATTTTTTCCTTCTTATCGTGTAAAGCTTTTGTTCTCTTTTATTGACCTGCAATGTCTGACGATTTGCGAGATATGCCTTTAAACAAAGGCGTTATTGTCAAAAATTATGTCCTTTGTTGTATATCAAAGAGATTTGAATTTTTTATTTCAAATTTGTAAATTTTAAATTGATAATAATAGTTAAAAAGTCAGCTTATGTGAATATTTAAAAGAAAATAAATAGTTGATAATTATTTATTTTTTACTGGCCGCTGGTTTCCTTGGCGGGTAATCATTTTGATCACATGTGATATCTCCTTCCATCCATTCGTCCTACTCCCCCCGTGTAAAGATAGAATGAGAGAATGGAAAAAACTAAATATCCTGTGTGCTGATTGAATACGGATA